ATCCTTGACAGTGTTCATTGATTATACATTCTATCACTGCTCTCCCGATCATCTTACTCCCCTAGTTAACCTCCTGTTTTCACAGTCATGGTCTTATGCAATATTTGATCTTTTGTGACTGAGTTATTTCACTCTGCATAATGTTCTCCAGCCATTCCCATGTTACATACCCTTTTCCAAATTGATTTCCCCCCTCCATCCCATCTTTAACAATCCTGTTGAAAAACCAGGTGCTGTGGAGTTGTTCCTGACTCACCAGGGCCCCATGGATGTCAGAGGAAGAACTGTGCCCCCAGCAGCTTTCACTGTCAGTATTTTTCCCAGCTAGGTCTTCAGGCCTTTCCTGCGAGGAGCCTCTACTTGTCCTCAAGCTTCTAGCCATTTGGTTAGTAGCTTTGTGTGTTTATCATTTGCACTGCCCAGTGATTCACTATCCAGTTATTCTCTTGACCTTTCCTGGGTCCTCTCCTCAGTGTGATGGGCCACATTGTTTAGCTTCCTTTATCCCTGCTGCCTCAATTCCACTTACTCATTTTCTCTCATGGGATTTTACTCTTCTCCCTATGGGAGAATAAGGGAAAATTGTTACCTTAAACAGCTGAAAATTTTCTCAACCCTTGCTGTTTAATTTCCTCTCTCTTATAATCTTAAACAGCAGATGCCAGCTCTTTGTGGCCTTTCAAAGGCTCTCAGAGGCAGGCCAAGAAGCCCTGGTGGTGTAGCGTGTTACACTTTGGACTGCTAACCAGAGGTCGATGGGTCGATAGATTGAATCTGTGAGGAGTCCCGTGAGAGAAAGGCTGACAGTCTTCTCCAGTAAAGATGGAAGGATCCCAGGAGTTGAAGTCTACACTGTGGCATTGAGTTTGGCTTAATGGTTTGACTTAAGTCAATGGTTCTCAACCTGGAAGAGTTTTGCCTTCCTGGCAACATTTGGGGACATTTTTTGGTTGTCAGCTTTGGTGGGAAGAAGGAATGAGTAGCCTGAAGTACCACATAGGACAATCTTCATGACTAAGAATCATCTGCTCAAATGGCCACTGTGCTGTGGCAAGAAGCCTTCATCTGAGAGGATCTTTTTATCTCTGGGGCAGATCCACCTTCCTGAGGGACCTCTAGTCATTCCTCCCACCCTTCTGGGACTTTTCTAGATCTGGAAACAAAGAATGAAGCATTGAGAGTGGGAACCATAGGCACAGACTTCTTTAGCCTGTGATCTTATTGGATCATGCCACCAAAGATGTCTTGACCTATAGCTGCTATATATCTTTCATTACTGGGATTAAAAGAAGAGAGAGATAGCCTCTTGTTTTGTGTTTAAATAAAACTTCGCTAGAGACTGAAGATTCTTATTTTGCACTGCTCTTAAAGCTCTTTTTGAAGATTGTGTAAGAGAAATGCGTACATTTTGTTTGTTTGTGGAGAAATTTTGAGGACAAGAATAACCTTTAATTCTTTGTTGGGTGGTGGTTGAGTGACATCTGACTCATAGCAGACCTGTAGGAAAGAGTAAGAGTACTCCATAGCATTTCCCTGACGCTAGCTGTTGTGTGAACAGAGCAAGGGAACACTACATTGTTTACAATGAAGAGAGGTGAGTGTCAAGGGTGTATCCTTTGTGTATACTTCTTCAATCTGTTTGCTGAGCAAATCACTTGAGATGCTGGAGTCTATGAAGAAGAATGTGACATAAGGGCTATAGGAAGACTCATCAACAACCTTCATTATACAGGTGACACAATTGTGCTTGCTGAAAGTGAGGACTTGAAGGGCTTCCTGGAGAAGACCAAAGAATACAGTCTTCAATATATTAATTCTATGCAACATAAAAAAATCAATAATTCTTATCACTTGGACCAGTGGGCAGCATCATGGTAGAATGGAGAAAAGATTAAAATTGTCAGTGATCTGATCTTATTTGGATCCATAGTCAACTCCCTTGGCACTAGCAGTCAGGAGATCGGGAGATGCAGTGCATTGAGAAAGACCACAGTCAGGAGTCTTTCCAAGTTACTGAGGAGCAATGATGTCAGTTTCAAGTCCAAGGTGTTGACTTAGGTCATGCTCTTTTCATTCACTTACTGTGCCTCTGATTGCTGTACAGTGAATGAAATGACAGAAGAAGAATTGATGCCTCTGAGCTGTGGTGTTGGAGAAGAACACTGAACATCCCATGAACAGCCAAGAGAATGAACAGCTATGTCCTTGGAGACAGTGCAGCTAGAGTACTCCTTTGAGTCAAAGATGACACAGCTCCATCTCACATACTTTGAGCATGTTGTTAGGAGAGTCTTTTCCTTAGAGAGAGCCAACATGCTTGGAAAGGTGGCAAAAGAGAGGATCCTTGACCAGATGGATTAACTGCAGCAGAGGGCTCAAATATGTCAGAAATGACAAGGATGGAACAGGACAGGGTTCAGATCTGTTGATCACAGGGTCACTTTGAGTCATACTCAACTCTATGTCACCTAACATAACCACCACCAATCTTTCTTTGGATTTGAGTGCCAGGTCTTTTCTCAGGTTACCACTAACCTTATGGTTATTAGCAAGTGAGAGATTAACCATTCTACCACTTGGGCTTCTTTTTCCTTGGGTAGAACATATTAAAATTAACAAATAACAAATCCACTAGACTCCTCTGGTATCTTCGTTCTTAGTGGATTTTTTTTAGGCAGCTGACATCATATTTTGCCTTCTGTAATATCCTTTGTGTCTAGACTTGTAACCACAGTATAATTTTTTAAATTAATTTAAATGAAAGTTTACAGAGACTTAGGGTTTTCAGTCATTCATTGTTGCACTTTTCTCCCTGCCCACCCTCACCCCCTCCAATTCACTCTTCTCCTTGAAAAGTAAAAGAAAAACTCATTGTTATGTAATCCCTTCCCCCACTAAAGTCCACTCCACTGTACAGCCTTCATTCTGGACTCCTGTCATGGCAATAATAACCAATCATATATATCCCTTTTAAACAGTTCTCTCCCTCATCTGTTTCAATGCAGTATACATCATTCCTCCCCTCCTTCTGTCTTTCCTCAACCCCAATGTCAGTCCCATTTTACAACAGTGGCCTATGCAATATTTGTCCATTTGTGACTGACATATTTCACTCAGCATAATGTCCTCCAAGGTCATCCATTTTGCATAGTATTTCATGAGTTCCTTGTTTTTCAATGCTGCATAGTATTGCATTGTGTGACTGTACCAGAGCTTCTCTATCCATTTGTTTGTTGATGGGCGTTTGGGTTGTTTCCTGCTCTTTGCTATTGCAAACAAAACCACAATAAACATGGGTGTGCATATATCTCTGCTTGGGTGGCAGTTATGGTTTCTTTAGGGTAAATTCCCAGTAGTGGAATTGCTGGGTCAAAGGGTATTTCTATTTGTAACTTTTTGAGAAAGCTCCATACAGCCTTTCATAGTGGTTGCACCATTTTGCACTCCACCAAAAGTGAATTAAGGATTCCAGTTTCTCCACAACCTAGCCAGCATTTGATGTTTGCTGTTCTATTAAATTTTACTGTTCTTACTGGGATGAGATGATATCTCATGTGACCACAGTATATTTGACCGTACACACTCTTTTTCTGTAACATGAAGGGTGATAGCATCTCCAAACAGCTAAAAAAAATCTTTAAATAGGTTTTTTTTTTCTTTTAGAAAAATAGTATGTAGGTTCTGTATTAATGGAAAGCTTACTGTTGGTAAAAGCAGCAAAGTGAAAGTTGTTGAGTGTTGTGGAGAAGGTATCATAGAGACTCTGCAACAGAACAAAACCCAGTCCATCCTGCTTTGTCCTCACTCACGCTGCTGTGCTCTGGCCCATTGGTGTAGTCCCAGGTCAGTCCATCTCAGAAGGGTCTTCCTCTTTTGCCCTAATTTTCTGCTTTAACAAGCTTGATGTCCAAGCACTGATAGTAAGATAATCCCCTGATAATATGGCCAAAGTATATTAGATAAAATTTCCCCATCCTTCTAAGGAGTGTTCTCACTGCCCCTCTTCAGAGTTGATATTAAGGCAGATTTGTATGTTCTTTTTGGCAGTCCATGGTGTATACAAGATTCTTCGCTAGCTCCATAGTTTAAAGGCATCAATTCTTCTTTCATGCTCTTTATTCACTGTCCCATTGCACATATATGTTACTTTTGTGTGCTGCCAAGTTGACTGACTCCTAGCAATCCTATGAACAATGACTCTGGACTTGACCCTAGCCTGAGCCAACCTTGTCATCTCTGACCTACCTGACCCCATTGCCACAGTTCCTATGTCAGTCCATCCACTGGAGGGTTTTCTTCTTTTGTGCTAACCTTCCACTTCTCCAAACATGATGTTCTTTTCCAGCTACTGGTCCCTTTTACATCATGCCCAAAGTATGTTAGACAGTGTCGCCATCCTTGACTCCATGGAGCAACCTGGTTTAACTTTCTCCAGAACAGACCTGTTTGTTTTCTTGGTAGTCCATGGGATATTCAGTACTCTTCTCCAACACCACAGTTCAAAGGCATCAATTCTTCAATCATCCTTAATCATTGTCCAGTTTTCAGATGGATAGCAAACAATTGAGAAGACCATGGCTTGGATCAAGTGCACCTTAGTCTTTAGACTGATGTTGTTGCTCTTTAGGGCTCTGGAGAGGTCCTTGGCAGCAGGTTTCTGCAATGGAACATGTCTTTTGATTTGCTGACTAGTGTTACTGGGGATGTTGACTGGGGATCCAAGTAAGATGAAATTGTTAACTTTTGTTCTTTCACATCTATCATGATCTTGCCTATTGGCCCAGTAGTAAGGATTTTTATTTTCTTGATGTTAAGATGTAATCCATATTGAAGTCTGTAGTCTTTGATCTGTAGCAAGTGCTTCAAAGCCTTCCTAGGTTTTGGCGAGCAAGGTTGTGTCATGTGCATAACACGGGTTATTGACAGAAAATACCCTGGCTTGTACTTGTAGTGAGAATAAAGCAGGTGAAATAAAAGTCAATCAGAGCTAGAAAGGGAAGGGATCCTGCGCTCCTGTGGTTCCTTTGTCACTAACTTTGCGGTTGCAATGGAGTCTGCTCTCCCTCACGATGGCCTCATGTGTATCAGAGAAGAATTTCTCCATAGGGTTTCAGTGGCTGATTTTTTTTAAGTAGGTTGCTGATTTTATTTTAGTTGGATTCACAGTCATCACCTCTGGTAACAGCAGTCAAGAAATTAAAAAAATATATAAGATTGGAATTCTGGGGGATTGATTTGGATCAGTATCTTAGAGGTTAAGAGAAAACGAGAGGGCAGGTGTGAAGAAGGTCAGAGGAGGGGGATTTCTGTTCAAGGTTGCAGTGTCTCATTTCTCATATGTGTCCTGTGGGATAATGACTGAAAACAGTCCTTAATTAAGCAGATGGGCGGGAGGGGTAGGTGGTGGGTTGCAGGGAAGAGTGATGGGAAATGAGGAGGTGACGCCTTCAAGCCAGGTTTCGTGGGAGGGACAAGTGAGAGAAGAAAAACTAACCACACTCCTGTGGAGTCAGCTTCCAATTCCTGATGACCCGTCAGAGGTGTAGCCTATTGGGTTTTCAGTGGCTGATTTTTTATTTTTTTTTTCAGAACTAGAATGCCAGGCCTGCCTTCCAAAATGTTTGTGGGTGGATTCGATCCTCCAGCCTTCAGGTTAGCAGTTGCATACCTTAACCACACAAGAGCTCTAGAGAGGAAATGGCAAAAATAAATTATAGGACATTGGAAAGTGGGGTAGACCGACCAATGAAAATCTGTACTGAACATCTAGTTTATCTGATCTGTAACCAATCATGGGTTAGGAGGGAGGGTGAGGGCCGCACTTTATTCCATTGTGCATGAAGACACTGTGAGTGAGTTGGGGGAGACTATATATATAAGCAGCTAACAACACAGTTATATGTCTCTCTCTTCATTTGCTTTGAAAAATTCTTTTATTTCTTCCAAACCCCAAGAGAGCTTGGGAGCATTCACTTTTCTTTCACAGAGAAGAACTTTGGAACCCTAGGAGGAGAAACATTTGGTGAAAGGTCACCCCTTTCGTAATTGGCCAAGCCAGCTTTTATACCAGTTCCATTCTAACAGCAAACTGGTGGTGTGGTTCTTAAATCATTCAGCCACTACCCAAAAAGTTAGTAGTTCAAAGCCACGAGCTGCTCCATGGGAGAATGAGAGGGTAATAAAGAGAGTACAGCCTCGCAGACCCTGTGGGGCAGTTCTTCTCCGTCCCCTGGGGTCACTTTTATTCAGAATGGACTTAACAGGTGAATTTAGGGTTTGTTTTTTTTTTTTGTTCTAAAAGCATCAAACTCAAGGCTTATCTTTTTTCTGGTCTTTTAAAAGTGTCTACCCAAGTTTTCTTGCCTCTAAACCATGAAACAAAAATGGCTAAAAAAAAAAAGTTACTTTGGGTTAGTAGTTCTGGTGGCCTAGTGGTAAGAAGCTGTGCTGTAATTCCAAAGGTATTTGGTTGGAAGCCATCAGTTGCTTCACAGGAGAAAGATGGACACTCTCCTGTGCAATTAACTAACTCTGAAAGCCCGCCAGAGGGTCAGCTATGGGTCACTTGCCACTCTACAGTACACAACAACATTAAAAGGAAGTCATTGGCCTTCACTGGAAGGAAGATTGGATAACTGAGGGGGTAGGAAGCAGGCAGGTGAGCTGGACACTGGGCAGCTTGGGCAGGAGCTCACCCACAGCTCGGCAGCAGAGAAGTTCTTGTCACCTTCTTACTTATAGTTTCTCTATGGGAATAAAATTCACTAAAATTTGTAAAAAACCTCAATACAGTTGAAGAAAATTTGTAACTTCTAAATTGTATGGATAGAACAAAGTAAATCCCTTGCATGTTTGAGATTTATGGGACTATAGGGCAAGTGGGTGGCTACACACAGAAAACAGAAGGAGTGTGCTTTGATTAAATCACGACCAATAAATCAGCTCAAACAAAGCTTTATTACATTCGCTCTGTTCTGGGCACTGGCAGTGCTGATACGGATTCTGACGTCAGGACTTCACAGGGCAGAACTAGGGACACGTTCAGTTTTTCCCTCCATTCTCCTTTAACCTGACTTGTCTGCCTTCCCCCTTCCTCGTTTCATTCACACACACTTCCACTTACCTGCATCCTTCTGATCACTCACAGTTTCTCTAACGTATTATATTTCATCAAATAAAATACCATAAACTGTAGGATGTACCATTATTATGTTTCAATAAGGAGAAGCAATACTACTAGTTAAATGAAATTGAGACTTAACTGTAACTTAAATTTTTATGCTTGTTGGATTCCTTTGGATTTAAACATGTATCCTGATTTTTAACACTCTTGTACTTATTTTTAAAACTGAAATAAGTCAACTAAAGGTTTCTGAAATATATCCATATGCAGGCAAACTTGACTGAATTGCTCTTCAGCTATGAATACAAAATGTGTTTTGTATTTCTTTTTTAAACTTTTTATTGTGCAAAGTTTATATTGCAAATTGATTTTCCATTCAGTAATTCATACACGTTTTGTTTCATGACACTGATTAGAATCCCCACAGTGTAACAACTCTCCTCATTTCTCCTTGTATTTCCATGTCCACTTCTCTGGGGTTTTTATCCTCTCTTGCTTCTGAGCTTTATCCTAGGGCATATACTCCCTTTTTATATGATATGGTTAGTTGATTGAAGCAGTTCTTGTGTCCCTGGTGTTCACTTTATTAAAGTCTTCACTTTTGAGTCAGAACTGATTCTAGGCCACTTTGCTTTGGGAGCTCTGATGGCCTAGTGCTAAGAAGCTGTGCTGCGATCCCAAAGGTAGGCGTTTCGAATCCATCAGCTCCTCCACCGGAGAAGGATGAACAGTCTCCTGGAAATGTGGTTTGCTTTTCAGAAAACCTGCTGTAGGGTCAACTGTGGGTTGGTTCTGACTCGACGGCACATAAAAATAGTAATCTCGGATAGCAGGAGATTGCCCATCATTCTGTTAACGGATTCGAACCACTAGAGAGAGGTGCAGCCTTTGGCTTAGAAGCACAGCTCCCTATAGAGAACACCACCAGATCACCCTTATTTGCATTTTTTCAGCCTGCCTTTTGTTTGGATGAAGCTATTCTTAAAGAAGAGATATCTATATGAGGTTTTAAGCTATGGACAATCCATTTGCCAGTTTTGATTTCTACTTCAGGTGATGAGCATTTATGTTTATGCCTTAATTCCAGCCTAGCTAACTAGTTCTTTGTGAAAAGAAGAAAAAGAATCTTAACATTGAAGGAACACTGTCCTCTCTTTAGTCCTGTCTTCTCCATCCAAACTTCCCCAGCGGTGGGATTCAGGCACTCGCACCTGCCGCTCACTTTGTCTTTGATCTGCAGGCTTATTCCCTAACCCATTTCTGTGAGGTCTTTTCTGATTTCTTAATGACCCTACAAGGTGGGCTGTGATCATTTTGGAAGTAGGCTGTGACCTTTCTCCTGTGGAGCAGCTGGTAGATCCAAACCTGCAACCTTTGATTTATCAGCTTAACTGCTGCCCTACCAGGGCTCCCAAGGCTTTCCCTAGTCCAGGCTGTTTCCCAGCCTTCTAGAGGGAGTTTCCAAAAGGCAAGTCTAGACTTGTCATTCTGCATGTAAAGCTATTGGGGAGGATCACATGTTTGTAATAGAAGACAGGCCAACCATCTGTTTTCACAACTAGAGTAAAGGAACTGGCTAAGATGTTTGTAATCTGATGAAACAAATTACCACCACTCTTCAGGCCCTCGGGCTTGATAATTATATCTGTGGTTTGTACAGCCAGGAATCTCCCCCTCATTCTCACACCTCCAGTGAAGGACAAGGTCATTGTGGGGAAAGCCTGGGATCTTGGGCCTGTTTCCCGAGTCCTTTCTGTGGCTCTGGACAAGTTACTTCATCTCAGAAGGCCTTGATTTCCTCATGGGAATAAATAGAACCACGCTCAGTGGGGGCTTTCTGAGATAAGATGGGGCTTTTCCTACATAGGGGCTGGGATATTTAGAACTTGATAAATATGAGTCATATTTTCTTTCCCTCCTTCTCCTGTTAGAAATAGCTTTCCATTGTAACATTAGAAACAAATATTTTTAAAATTAATTTCAATGAACATTTACAGAGATTTTGGATTTCTGTTCATTCATTGTTGCACTTTTCTCCTTGCCCACCCCACCCCTACCCCCAGTTCGCTCTTCTTGAAAAGCAAAAGAAAAACTCCTTCACTGGTATACAATCTCCCTGCACCCCCCACCCCCACCCTGAGTATATTCCACTCTGCATCCCTCATTCCAAACTCTTATGATAATCATAATGCCCTAAAATAAATGCTTTTAAACTGTTCTCCCCCTCATCGGCTTCAATGCAGTATACAGATAATTTATTTTTTCTTAGGTTTTTCTCAGTCTTACCCCCAACCTGATGTCAGCCTCATTCTACAACAGTGGCACCCCCCCATATAGTATTTGTCCTTTTGTGACTGAGATATTTCACTCAGCATAATGTCCTCTAGGGTCATCCATTTTGAATAATATTGCATGAATTCCTTGTTTTTCAGTGCAGCATAGTATTCCATTGTGTGAATATACCAAAGCTTCTCTATCCATTTGTTTGTTGATGGGCACTTAGGTTGTTTCTAACTCCTTGCTATCGTGAACAAAGTCGCAATAAACTTGGGTGTGCATATATCTGCTTGGGTGGCAGTTATGGTCTCTTTGGGGTATATTCCCAGTAGTGGAATTGCTGGGTTTAATGTTATCTCCGTTTGCAACAGTGGTTGCACCATTTTACACTCCCACCAACAGTGAATAAGGGTTCCAGTCTCTCCACAACTTTGTTACTTGCTGTTCTGTTAAATTTTGCTATTCTTACTGGGGTGAGATGATATCTCATAGTTGTCTTGATTTGCATCTCTCTTAGAGCTAGGGATTTTGAACAAGAAATGATTTTTTAAAATTGTATAATAATGGTATACTGTTGTTAGGCTCCATCAAGTGGACTATAGCTCGGTGACCCTT